ACCGACCGATTTTTAAGACAGGGCAGAGGAGGTGCGGCTTATACTTAAGAGAAAACCGTCCGCATGAAAAATCGGGGATTTATTTTCACTACACTAAACCATATCCGCTTGAGTATATCACGCCGCGCCAACAGTCATGACCTACAATGTTGTCATCTGACGATCTAACTTAGGTATCGTCAGGATTTAGGGTTAGGCTACAATGGCTCATACGTAATCTGCCTCTTGTGACATTTTCACTCTTGCGTGGTCCTAGTTACTTTTGCAGAAACCTGGTACATTAAACAAGGGGCAGATCGTGTGTGGTACGCATAGATGGGCTGTGTAACTTTTTCATTCACTAGGCCAACGTCAATAGTCACTCGCTTTAATTTTGCCCTGCTATCAGAACGTGTGAGACATAAGAGGGGAGGGTGAAGTAGATGCCGCAAATGTTTGCTTCACCGTAAGCGCGTCCAACGTAATTTAGAAATATTGCGCCCGCTTCGTGAGGCAATGTTCAGCCTCGTCTTCCTCGACGGTCGAATTATTTATAGTCCCGCTAAAGCAATCTATTTTTAGCCGTCTTCAGGCCATATAAGTATAAATTTTTGTTGATTTCTTCCTACTAAGCCGTGTCTTTATTTAAACTGCGTACTTAGATGCCTCGAAAGAGCAATAAAGTTTCCTCCTCCAAGGCGCCTATCCGACAACGAACTAAGGACCTCTGCGAGGAACTGTTACGCAGTAAGCAGTTTTTAATTTAATTTCTTTGTTTTTGGGTTGCTGATTCGCTTCCATCTAAATACATAGCGGCCAACAACGTAAAAATTACTACATTGAAAGAACTGAATCGACTACCTCTGCGATGCCAATTTAAAAATTCTAGCGTTTTGTTTATGAGCGTCTCCAACAGTTAACGCTGTGGATGGTTTCAAACGTTTTTCATCACTAATAATTTAGCCACGTTCATTGTATACGTGAAGGAAAAAAAGACAAGTTCACAGGACCGAAGCTGCAATTGAGGTCAACTTTCATAATGTTCATCCGAGCCTACAGTAAGCCATCTTGGTGTCATTGCTAGTTAAGGCTGGATTCAGCTAATATTACTTTCCCGAACGGTCTCGTCTTTACCTCCGCGGATTATTTTAGCGAATAGTATCAAGCAGCTAAAAGGGAATGTAGCAGCTATGGAACAGCAACAACTTCAGAAAATTGAGCTAAAGGACCTTTAATTAAGCATAAAAGCAACGGATATATTTCGAATGCGTGATCCGTTTATTAGGTCATTATTGGAAAGATATACTTGGCAGAAACCTCGCATATTTGCAGTTGCCTCTTCTGACTAGTCTAACATCTATTCCAGCGTCTTCGAAGAGCCCACATGAGATCACAAGAATAATTGGGTACAGAAGAGACAAATACAAATTGTTTAGTAGAGCTTGTGGATTACATTTAATCTGGTTTTTCTTTTAATGGGGACTGGGCTTGGATCTGTTCCAGTGTTTTCGAAGGGCCAACAAAGGATCACACAAGAGTGATTGAGTACAGAAGAGACGAATAGGAATTGTTGAGTAGCGCTTGTGGATTACGGGGACTGGACTTGGATCTTATTAGCATACCTAGTTTGTGCTACATTGCCGACTTATCTGTTCAAGTGGAGATTTGGGTTCCTTTACTAAAGGTTAAGCGCCCGGCAATTTTTTCCGGTTTTAGAAAGCCGCAACTGACTTAGTTAACTTATCGTATTTTTCTTTAAAACTCGTTTGCTTACTTGAAATCCCTATTACGAACATGCGGTTTTTCGTTTTAATGGCTTTCGTTTTATTTTTTTAACTTACACTAATGCCGTAAATAAACTTTCAGTATGCTCTTCTTCCATTGATCCCACCGATGGGCTGGCGCACTTCAAGAACCTACAGGCGATTACGACCGAACTGTCTCTTCTGCAAAAAGGTGAATTCACCAATCGAACTCTTAAACCAATCGGCTAAAGATATATGCTTGATTAGGAACTTACCAAAGTCCGCCTCTGAGCGACAGAAATTCCTTTCAAAGCTAAAATCTCGCCTCAAAGCCTGCTTTCTTAAGTCGATTGACTTTAGGCAGACAAGGGATTCAGGATTCGGTGTTTTCTCTACCGAAGGCATTCAGGTAAGTGTAATTCATAATCATGTCATATATAGGAGCAAGAATGTGTTCTAAGAATTTCGATAGAACATGCCTTCTCCGCTCAATCTGTGATCGCCCATTTTCGTAAGTCAGTTGGTTTACTGAGCACATTCTCCGGTAATTAGCACCGGTTCTGAAAAGAGATCCCCTATTGTGTGGAATGGAGAATGTCGCTCTGAGCCTGTCTCTTCTTTACGAATTGTCATTGGGCGAAAAATCCATATGGTGTGATTACTTGTGTAAGCGGTTTACTTGTTTGCTGTTTAAATGGTACTCTCCTCTAGACTCATTACCAATGTCATACTCCACAGTGATGTACTTATCTGCTGAACAAATGGAATTGCTGTCAGGCTTTCCCACTGCTGGTAGAATTGCATGCCCAACTAAGCCATTGTGGTGATTCAGGAACGGCGCTCAATGCCTTTCGCAGCATTTGCAGGCAATACGCTTACTTCTTTCTGCTTTTTGAAAAAATGGACACGTTACTTGGAAACATGAAGTTCTTCTGCTTTGCCGACTACCGGTAAGTACTCTCCTTTCAAATTTACCGCTTATTTATTCAAACTCCATTTTCTGTGCAGCTTAATAAACCAATTAGGTGTCCTTCTGGTGATGAATTCAGACGTTTGGTGGGTGGACTACCTTTAATTACTTAAGGCCTGCATGATCAAATTTAGCAGCTATTCGATGCCAGAGTGAAAACTGTTTGTTCCATTTCAAAATCCTGCTGCGTATGGTTGTTTTGGTGTACCTGCATAGACTTGC